CTGCCTCTGCTAAAAGTCTAGTTTATGTCAACCAATAGCTCAATTATAATAACGAATGTTTATAGTAATAAGAAACAAACGTCTGTCGCTCAGACTATTCACTCTCATTTGTAATAACTATATAGTATGGCTCGCGTTATCGAGTGTTTTAGTTGCTGGAGATAAGTTTTCGCTTACCTTTGCAATTTCGTGTTTCACAAATCAATAATTTTGTTTATATAAAGGAAGTTTTCTAGAATCAGACATATTTTTAATCAATACTTATCAAATCTTATTATATAGATAATACATTTTTACATATCTACTTTTTGACATTAACTTAAAGTATTGAAATTGAACAATACATTGCTCAATTTAAAAAAGTTCAAATTAATGACAAGAAGCATACATGTATAAAATGCATTATTATCTGTAAGATGTATTAATGAAGAACATGTCTGATTATATACAATACAATATAAAACTTTTTTATGAGAAGTATATAACTCCACTCATAAAATCTTACAAAAATTAATCAGTAAAAAATGTTATAACGGAATGAACAAATCATATAATAATTAAATTACAATTCATAAAATTTATTGAAAAATAGCAGTTTTTTATAATAAATATATTTATAATAAAATATGTAGTTCGAATTATTACATTTGTTTTACAACAGTGCTGGAATTTATTTGCAACTTTCGGCTGATTTTCAGCTGATTTTCAGCTTGATTCCCTTACCTCACCAACTCACGCAATCTAAATGTCGATCAGCATGGGTGAGGTAAAGAGCAGGTACAAAGTTGAAAATCGGTTAAAAGTTGCAAGTATTCCAGCACTGTTTTACAATGTACATATATGTATAACTAAATTTAACTGTTAGTTAATTTATATAAAATTTAACATAATAAAGTCTTAAATGGAAGCTTTTAAAGCAACATAATATTCTCCTAAAAATTAACACAATGTCATGGTTTATTTCGAGCTAAATGAAATTTATTGAAGTTGTTTATTATATCCTATGTTAGACTATATTTCGCATATAAAACATACATCTCCAATCTCATTACAGATCATAATATTAATAGTTCCAAATATTTGAGTAGGATTTGAAAATAATACAAGATATTATGGAATTTTGATTTCAATGTATCTACCAATATTTCTTGATATAATTTATGATGTTCAATAGTTAATGTTTCAAGAAGTTTGACTGCTCCCCTTACATTTTGCTCCCCTTACATTAACGAGATCTACAATCTTCTATAAAATTATATAATAATTCCATAAACTATCATACTGCACAAGATCACCTACATAAAAAGCAAAACAAATAAAAAAATTCTGTATCTCTGCCAACATTTTTATTTTTTTTTGTTTAACTTCCGTTGAAATAAGTGGTGATTTATTTCTGAATTCATTTCTTTTATAGTTAAAACAGTCTATACGTTCATTTCAATGTTCGTATATTTCAGTGTTCGAAGAGAAAAAGTTTTCCTTTTAATAATGTACTCATATATAATATGGATACATATTATAAAACCATTCCACATTTTAAAACTCCGAGTTTAATATCGTGTAAAATATTGAAGTATTGAACTCCAAACAGATAATTCTTTAATGCCAATTACAGAAAAATTTATTACTAATACATCCTCCATGTAGTGTTCAGATTTTCATTGTAACTCTGCCTGTATTTTGCAATCTAACTCTATCTGTGGTCTAGAAGCTTTGCAAAATCTACGGTAATTTGCTCTAAAAGAGCTTATATAACCTAAAGCAGAATTTAGAGCTAAATTGTCACCAAGCAACAATCCCAAAGCAAAATAAATTTTAGAACCATTCATTTCAAATGTAATGCCCTTCTTCTGCAAATAATTTATTTCATTCACTACAATATGAAAAATATTTTCATTTGAATACGTATCTCTATCTGAGGAATAAAAGAGGAGGCATAAGAATATGTTTCCTAGTTTTGCTGTGAACTTTGGCGGGAATGCAAGGAATTAAAAAATATACTACTCCCACTTTCTGGACTCTAACTTAACTATCAAGCGGATTATTGACTTCAAAATCGTCATAATATAAAAAAATTGATAGCACAACTTTTATTTTATTAATAAAGTATTTAGATTCTTTTTCCCTCCAAATCTCTCCTTGAACAAAATTCGATAAATCTTTTTCAATTTTTTTATTTTTTCACATATTCTAAAGTTTTTTGAAGAATTCCAGGAAGACAAAAAACTATAAAGCACTTCCCTCATGAGAATAAATTGAGCAGTAACTGAAACAATTTCTTTAATGATTTTATTTTGAAAGAGCTTATTGTCGATCTTAGAACATATGACTGGGAAAAAATATAATGGCCCATTTCTTGAAATATCTTGAAACGATGATACTCTGAATAAACATCCTGAAATGGTTCTGTTAAAACCATAAGAACTTTATCAACTTCTTCCTTTATATTTCTTTAGCGGGATTTTTCATCAAAATGTAATGTTTATTTCATCAAAATTACAAAATAACGGCTTCAAATTGACCATTGCATCAGAAAGAAGTTGATAAAAATCATCAATAACTAATTGTATACGATTTCTTGGCAAGTTAGGATTTACATAAAGTTTACTTACAAATGTCATTAAATTATTTCTCACACTTTCATTAAGCAAACATATTGTTACTTTCCTTATTTGAAATATTAGAGACATCGCTATTTTTCTCATTACTTACTTTAGAATTAATAATTAATTCTCATTCCTCACTAATTGTAAATGTGTCTGGTAAAATAGGTTTATTACCACTTGGATGCACATAAGTAGGATATTTATGTGGATTTTGATCTTCGAAATGTTTTCCAGTTCGGAAAATTCCGCCAACAATTCTTTTTTTGACATTTAAATTCTGCATGTTCATTGACTTGTTCGCGTATCTTTAAATGTAAATAAAGAGCGTCCATAGAGAGGAAGTCAGTTTTGCAGATAAAAGACATGACGTTATGCAGATAAAATTTAAAAAAGAAAGTATAATACAGCAACAACAGTTAATAGTTATGCAAAAACCATATTAACTAAAAAGAGGAATATAACTGTAGAACCGATATAACGGATATTGTACAAAGAAACTTATCTATCTTAGTTTATATTAGGTGTTGGAATTAATTCGTAGCGTTTTACAAGTGATGGGAAGTACTTTCATTAATGTATTTTTTAATGCTCATGTGAAATAAATAACATTCTTTCATTAAAAAACGCTACGAATTAATTCCAACACCTAATACATTTTTTAAATTTCTTTAACTAACGGCTAACAGCTGTATTGCTGTCTTCCTTGTCAAATAATAATTTATAGATATATCCCTGAATTAATAACAAACAGGTTTACAAAAATTGGAATAGGCACAATTAAGTTAAGAATAAAATATTTTAAAACAATCTTCAACAGCTCTAATTGGGCTCTCCATGTATATTCTTACATCAATAATTACATGGAAGTCAATCACTGAATCCTATGATTCTCCTACAAAGATCACGAAAGATGAACACTTTGTTTCATTTGCCGGAACAGCATTTTCAATTCTTTCAATGTCAGGATCAATATCATCTATAGTCTACAAAAAAATGGAGATATTGATAATATATCCTATTTTCGTTTTTACAAATAACAATGATACTAAATGAACATACTAAATGCGGATTGAGTCGATTTATTTTTCGTAGACTTCTCGATGAATCCGAACGTAACATTGAAATTTTTTTATCTTCATATTTTTTATTATCATATTTGATTTTTAAAACAATTCAAAAGAGCAAAAATATTTTTCAACATTTTCAAATATAAGTAATAAATTTGCACTGTTTAATCCGCATTTTAAGCTTTTTTTTTTAATTTTCTAGCATATCACGTTTATCGCTTATACTTTAAAAAATAGTTCAAAAATACATTTTTTTGCACTTTTGATCTCAATTTTTTCAAAAAAAACTAGATGTAATAACAAAAAGCTTCAATGGATTCGAATTAAGCGGAGAAAAATCTCAAGAAATGGCTCGAGAAACTCAATCTGCACTTACATGTCGACCCATGTAATTTACATAAAAAGAAATGTTTCATTAATCATTGAAGCTGATCTTTACTAGAAAAATAAAATTATTTAAAATCTCTTGGTTGTTACTCTGTGAGGTATAAACCGAGCTGGAGTTATTGAACAGAGAAAAAAAATTCTGACAGATTATAATACGTTGAATAAAAGATTAAAATATTGATTATAAATAATGTTTGAAAAATCAGTCGTGTACTCACATATGCTTCACATCTCCAGTAAATTCATAATTAATAATTGCTTCCACAAGTCTCAGTCTGTCTTCCTGCCTTAGATCTTTCTTTGGAATTGCGAAAGATAATATTAGGTGTTGGAATTAATTCGTAGCGTTTTACAAGTGATGGGAAGTACTTTCATTAATGTATTTTTTAATGCTCATGTGAAATAAATAACATTCTTTCATTAAAAAACGCTACGAATTAATTCCAACACCTAATATTATCTTTCTTAATTTATCCAATATACTATAAAAAAAACAGAAGTGCATTATTCTTGGAATAAAATTTATAATTTTTGAGCAAACAGCATGAGCATATTATATTGTATATACGTTGAAAAATACCACTTACACTTAATACTTTAGATGTTTCATTTTGGGTAAGTGCATAGGAGATGTGTGGAAGTGTGAAGTGAAAGTGCTTAATTTATTAGCATTTGCAAGAGGTTGAAATTCTAAATCAAATTCAGTCTCTGTGAAAGGAATAAAGTTTAAAGAGAATCCCTGAGACAAAAGAGGCATCAGTCAGAGAAATGATTTCCTATAAGACAGATCAGGAAGAAAAAAATGGAAAAAGAATTCTATAATATTAATAAGTATAAAAATACATACATATAAGAATAAATATATTTGCCTTAAATATATTTAAGTATATATATATATATATATATATATAATATGAAAATTTATGAATATTGGCTTAACAATATCAAACTGAAATCAACTATGAGGTAGAACGTTTTATAAATAATTAACAAATGTAGAAATGAATGTAATAACTCGTGCGATATTTTCCTACCTTATCTTGTTATTCCTATTTCAACTTTTCCTTTAATGACCATAATTTATTTCTTAATTTTACCTGAGGTTCTTCTTTTGTTATTAACCTGTTTATTCTGTCTTCGGCTTCTAAGACCAGGAAAGTTTCTTCATCAATTCCTGAGTCTACAAAGAAAAGAAAGAGAATGAGATTATGTAGCTATACATATAATATGCGAATGTTATATTATTTTGCCAATTTTATATTGACATTTGCATCACTTACTTTCGAATATGTCTGAATAAGAGTCTAACCCTCACTCTTTGAGGTAATTTTCGACTTTCATCCGTTACGTTTTCTGAAGTCCGATTATTAATTATTAAAACAGGAACAACAAGATAAGCTCGATGTTCACAATGCTAGAAATCAATCCGAGATCTCGGATAGAGAAAGAATTAACGAATCACATTTGAACAATTTGGTCACATGATCAATGCGATTGGTCAATTCTTTTTTCATCCGAGATCTCAAATCGATTTTTAACATCGTGGCATCTAACACCGAGTTTTATAATTTTTTTTCGGCACCTCAATTATTATAAATAATATTTTATAAAACACTAGTCAAAATTTTAACCAACACAGCTGTAACTTACCTGCGTTATTGCCGTTGAGCGAGGCATAAGCTGCTATCAAGCGCCAAACTCGTCGGATTCGTCTATCAGATTTTTTTGTTTATAGTAACAGAGAAATTGTTTCTTGTCACAATTCACTACACCTCATTTCACACACTCCGGACTGGGTTTTCACTTGACGCTGAAAATGAGCATCATAGCGTCAAGTGAAAACTTAGTTTGGTGCGAATGTGCTGTGTAACCGAATGGTTCGTTACGATGGCAACATATTTGAGACGGAAAATTTCGATTCCTCTAACTGAAAGCATTTGTTAATGTAAACAACGCTTCAATTAGTGAGAACAGGCTAAATGTTGTTTCTAACTGAAACTCAACTAACTGAATATCTCTGCCTACTACAGCTGAAATTTTTTTCCGTGTTTCTTTAGTTTTAGTTGCTCTTTAGTTTCGAATATAACAATATTTGAAAGATCGAATTCTCCAGATATGGAATACCTCGCATAGCACACTTTATTCGAGAGACGTTCTAAGAATGTTTTTAAAACACAGAATGTTTTTTGGATATTTTAGGATATCTCTTGAAAATTGATATGCTATGTGCGTATGAAATTTGAATTATGATCTTTTTGAATTATTATTTATACTACTATTTATTAACATATTTACATCTACTATAGTATTACGTTTTTTTTTATAAACTATAGTTGATTATTGTTGATAGTATTATGTCTTTTTAAAATCTATAGCTGACTGTTACTAATATAGTATTACAGCTGCGTGTCTGCTTGATCTTGTTTTATGTCTTATGAACGATAAAGATGGAATAACGCAATAGAGTACTTCCAATACGATAAAGATGGAATAGCGCTTTATAGCGTACTCCTAAATGTAATCTGTGGATGCATTTCGTTTTATGTTCACAGCGCTTATAAGCATCATTTGTTCTTGTTTAATATTTGATGGACAACAAGGATAATTTGATGCTTACAGCGTGTAAGTATGAAAATGGAACGCACTTTATATATAAAATCGTTTCATATTTTAAAATCAAAACGAGTTTCAATTAATCAAAACGAGTTTTATTAACAGAGTTGAAGTTAGTTTTAATTTGAAAATTAAACAGAAAGGCAATTGCTTTAAAAAAATATCATTAAAAAATATTAAATTATAATTTTATGTAAAAGTTATATTTTTTAAAAATTCGTGATAAAGACACTCAATTAAGTAAATTTAATTATATAATAAACGAGGGGCTAAAAGCAACAGCGAGTTGTTGATTGCTTTTTCTTTTTTGTAAAAATGCTTAATTAATTTTATTTATTTATTTATGTCAAAATGTTTAATTAAAAAGAGAATAATAAAAGATTCTAGAGAATATAAATCATAAAGGTACAATTGCCAATTAAAGTCAGGACTAAGTGTTTATGTATAAATACAAATTCTTTACATCAAATACGATAGAGAATGCAATCACGTTCAAAATTAAATTTTTCGAATTACAATATATATTCTTTATTAAATTAATTTTTTTCTTTCAGATATGATTGCGCGCCGATAACTTCCGGACTTTTAACACCATCAGAAACGCTAATAATCCTCCCTAAATTAAATTATTATAAAAAAATTGTAAAAATCTTAAGTATTGCGAAAAATGACAAATGAGCAATTGCCAATTGGAACTTGGTACAGTGAACAGTGCGTGATTTAGCTTTAAAAAAAGCTTTATCTTACATAACCAAATAAGAAATAGTATATATTTCGGTTAGTATTCTAGTCTTCTTCAACAAATAAAGACTATGATAAAGTATATTCAAATGTAAATTTGAAATCTTGTTTAAATACGGTGAAACAATATTATTTGCAATACAAAATGTATAATAAATTTAACGCGAAATATATTTTTAAAATGGATCTTTTTTCATCTAATCCAATTCTTTAATAATTTGCTTGTATATATTCCAAAGTTTTTTGTATATATTTAAGAAATGAGATGTGTGTTTGATGCATTTTTCAGCCAGCGTGACTTTAAAGGTAATTATATGGAAATTCCCGAGATAACAGATTCAAAAATATAAACAAATGACAAATGGGCAATTGGGAATTGGTGCAGGGAATAGTGCATGAAAAAGCTTTATCTTATATAATCAAATAGGAAATAGTACATGTTTCAGCTAGCATTCTAGCCTTTTTCAGAAAATAGAGATTTTGCATAAAGCTTTTTTAAAGCTAAATCATGTACTGTTCACTGTGCCAATTCCCAATGCCAATTTTATATTTTGTTTATATTTTTGAATTTGTTATTTCGAGAATTTTCATATATAGTTACTTTCATTGCGAAAAATATTACCTCAGCCAGAGTAATTTTTTATTCTATAACAAATTAATTAAACATTCCCTTACATTTTTTGGTCATCTGGAGTAATTAACCAAAAAACAATATTATGTCACAATTAATTACATAGATTGCAAAAATTGTTGCAGTTAAATAATTCAAAAAAATTTGTCAAAGCTGAAATATCCCAGTAAACACGCACATCCCAGTAAATGTACGAAATTTCGGAAAATTTACATAACATAGTGTATGTAATTATTACAGAATAACACAATGAACCAAAGACGTAGCAGGTATATCATTTACGCAAAAAGCTATAACTGTTACGTATGATCGTACTGTCACTGTTTCGATGCATAGTTAACGTAACATTTACGTAATTTGAATAACATAAATTTTCATTCTTTGAAAACTTCGTAAATGTTACGTAACTATGATAATGTACGTTATTTATATGTAAATATTCCTCTCTTTTTCCGACTTTGTTGCGAAATATAATTAAAATATGCTGACATTTTGATCTGAAAATAACGTGACTATTACAGAACAGTGGAACATTGTTCCGTAACGACTACATAAATATACGGAACGATATTCACTGGGATATAAAAATTAAATGTGTCGATAAATTTCTTTAAAAAACAATTTTAATTAAAAATATATTAAATATTAAAATATCTTTAAAAAATTTAATTAAAAATGTTAAAAATGTTAAAAATTAATTTTTTTAAAAGTATATACTTATGACAAATTTTAAGAGGTTTTTTAACTTTAACATTCCTTGTGTTCATAATTTAATATTTTTTATTTGTAACAGATAAATTTCTTTCAATTTTAAACAACAAATACCTAATTATAATACAAAAACACGATATTTTAAAATAAATTTAATATAGTTTTTATTTTTATTTTAATGATAGAATTCTGCGATTAGCTGTAAATTTAAATTTACTGCATTCGGCTTCCAAATTAAAAAAAAAATGAAAAATTTACTGCAAAAGTGTTAGTAGTAAAATTGCTTTAGATTATTTGTTATGAAATATACTTACGCCATTTCCTGAACATTCTTTATCATCATGATTGCTGGGACATTTTTCTTGATCGATGTATGGAAACAAACTCGTGCAAGTTTGATTTACGCAAATCTAGAATGCATAATTAGTAATCAATGAATAGTAGGAATCAACATATTATTTGAAAATAAGTAAAACTACGTATAATAATTTTTATGAGAGTTAAATATGTCATTATAATTACCAAGTTATCACCGCAAGATGTGCCATCACGAACCAATCCCATTCCAGGTATATCAGATCCTTCCACTCTTCCATTTGTGGCTCTTGCAAATAGAAATAATTGATTTAACATAATACACATATATTGTGTATCAAAATGTAAAATATATCAAATATCAGTTAAAAAGTAGCTATTTTGACTTTATTGCCTAATACTTACTTGCATTCATATTCCTGGTTCTTGATGGAAATTATAGTTCTAGTATGTAAATCCTTCATTCCATCGATTACTGGTTGCTTGCTTCCTTGTTGGCATTGAAGAGATCCACAACGAACGTTTCTAAAAGAAAAAAATTTTCTTATTTAACCATTATGTTGATATTATATTTAAATATTCGATTTGATTCAATCGAATTGTCTCTCGTACCAATGTAATGAAAATTAAGACAAAAATTTACAATTTATATCAACCTTAATCTTATTTATTTTTTTAAATTAAATTTTTACATCTCCTTTTTCCTTATATCTTTCACATTTTTATTTTCTCGTTACATAAGAAAAGCGTAGTTTTACTCACTCAGATTCGCATTTGATAAGATGACCGCTGGAGTCGGTACCGCAGTGGCCGTTGATAGATCCTTTAGAGTTAAATTGCTCGAAACATTCTTGATCGGCAGCGATTCCGCCGTAACCCCATACTTGCTCACATTGTAGATCTAGAGCCGGACAAATTCCGTTGAAGCAATGCCCAGCATTATTTGCGCACGGGTTGCCGTTCTTTTTATAAACGTCCGGTGGACACTGACCAGTATCACCAGTGCACATTTCCGGTAAATCGCATTCATTCGTCGATTCGCGGCAAACGACGCCGCGAGCACGGAGCTGAAATTTTATCAATATATTGAAAAATGTAGGATTTATAATACAGAAAAGTAAGCAAGAGAAAATAATACGCCGGAAATGGAATTATTATACCCTTCGTAAATATACATTCACCATTTTTCATGCTGTTATATACTTAATAGTTTACATTCGATAAATAATTTAATGTTTTTTGTATTGAATATTCGGAAATCTTTAAAAATTAATTATAATAATGATATATCTCTCTCAATATTATGAGATGTGGTTCACGCCATATCGTATTACTTCCAAGAGATTGCTCGCTAAAAGACAGGAGCATCTTCTCTTATCTTACCTTGCAATCGCTGCAACAAGGACCGGTCGCGCATTCGGCCTCCGTTGTCAGCTTACAAGTGATAGGATCGCAACAAGGATCGTACTCCTTGCACTCCTCGATCGATCCGCAGTCGCATTGTTCCCCGTCGTCGATTACCCTGTTTCCGCATGATCTCCTAATCTCCAACTATAACCCGAAGCAGATCCCAAATCGATTAAGCTAATCGAATTTGCTTCAAGGTTCATTCGATCCCATTCTAATTCGATTAAAGTGTTATTGATTTTATGTGTAAGTTATCAATTTACCTCGTTTGGTTTGTTAAAAAGGCAAATGCCGTGACCGCTCTTTAAAGCTTCTATATAGTCAGTTTTACTACATTCCGAAAACTTGTATGGCTGAACGTTTTCTAAGCC